TCAATCTCCAGAAGACATTCCTACTCTCCCAACTTCCTCAGCTTCATCACCTCTACCCATACAACCTTCTTCATCAAACACCCCATCCTCCCTTATTACTACCTTACAGCCTTATTCTCCATCTCTCCGTAATACTAATCCCCTCAACAACACTCCCTCTTCCACACGTCCCAGTCCTACCACCACCAAACCTACAAATATCTTAAATGCTCTATTTAGCCCAGCTAAATGGGACTGATTTTATGTGATTCCCCCTACAGCTCCTTACTCAGGCAACACTCTTCTCTTTCAACAATGCCTCCAAAAGCAAGTGGGCAGAGTCCCTTTCCGTACCCAACCCGATCATTCCTGTCTCATAACAATCACATCTGAATCCGAAGCTATTGCATTATCAAATCTAACTGATCTCTTTGGCAACCCCATTCCTGCAGAATCTCATCCAACTCTTAATACTTGTACTGGAACTGTGTCCATCTCCCCAGCAAGCTGCCCTATGGATATCGATTGGTCAGATTGTGGAGAATACTTACTCGGCTGCCTCAAAGACCGTGATGTGATATCAGTACATTGCTACTCCATTGCTCCTAGAGGTCATCGAAAGAAACCCACCAACATTGCCAAAATTATTTTCCATACACATGACCCTCCCTTCCCTTCCCTACATTGGTGGACAATCCCTCCCTGTTCGACCATACCAACCTCCTCCCCGTCAATATCAAAACTGTTGGTGCTTTGGACATCCTGCTAAACATCACTGTTCCACAGACCGATGCCACCTATGTGCCCAACCCAGTCATAACCGATCAAACTGCTCTGCACAAACGCGCACATATGCTAATTGCAGTGGCCCTCATAATGTATTTTATAGAGGCTGTACCACTTACAAGTTTGAATTTGAGGTAGTAACTCTCAGATACAAAAATGATCTTGCTCTACATGAAGCTAGACAGGAAGCTCACCAACAAGGTTTCTCTCATACACCCTACTCTAGTAATCTCGCCTGCCCTGCCCCTCCCCCACCACCCCAAGATGTTCCTACACCCTCCCCTATACCTACTTACTTCCCTACTTCCACTTCTACATTCTACCCCTCCCAGTCAAATTCTTTTACCACTTTAAATCCAGACACTCAGCCCCAACACCATTCCCTCTCCCTCCCTGCACTGCCCGCATCAGACAGACTAAATGTTCTTCCACTACCGCACACTCACCTCCACCTACCTTTGCCTTTATTCCTCAGATACCAGTCTCCTCTTCCCCCCCTCATAAGAAAACCTATGTCTCACAAAACTCTCCAACCAACTCCACTGCAGAAACTATGGGAGATATTCAAAGCTATTTGCTTGAGACACAAGATCCCATAACTCATGCTCCCTCCACACTCAAAGTGACTGCCGATATCCATCCCCCTCCGACTCATATTCCCCCACACCTCTTCCTCCTACTCCCTCTCAACACAACCTAACCCCCTCAATTCCACCTACTACTGATATCCATCCTCCCGATATCCATCCTCCTGATACTACCAATATCCATCCTCCTGACACCGATCCTCCCCCTACTCAGATTTCCCCTACACCACTTTCTCTTACTCCCTCCCAACACAACCCCTCACCTCCAACTACATGTACATTCTCCCTCTCTCCATTCCCTCTATCATTTCCACTCCCTCCTGGATACACTCGTGAAACCCTTATGTAATTCCCTTACCTAGACCCACCGTAGCCCATTCACACAGTAACTCCTTTACCCATCTTTAACCTTTCAAGATTACTCTAGATAGTTGACTCATTGCAACTATCACCCTTCACCCCTCCTTTAATTCCTATAGTATTATATGACCTTAGATGTCTAGCACATTTATTTTGCTTTTTAACCATTAACCATAAACCATGACCATCAGGTCATGAAATTTTTTTGGATGAGGTGTGGGTAACATGAACATGCCATCATGGGATAGAATGGCTGTGGGCTGGGTGATGTTAACTTACTGTCATGAGCGAATGCCAGGGTAACAGAAAAGACTCGCCACAAATGCACAAACCTCTTGGAGTGAGATTAGACACCTTAGGCATATAGAAGGGGACTTTTGCATTATTCCCATTGATAGATCAGTGAAGAATGAAATGGTCTTGAGCCATGACTGGAAGAGCACTTGCTCCAGGGAGGATGCAATTTCCATGATCAGCATTGTATGACCGGTGGCCATCAAAATTGAATATTATGAAAAAATAAGATATGTGAGAAATAACAAAATGTTACTTTTTTTTCACTAAGTTATTTACTACATAGAGCAATGATATGGAGACTGTGCAAGGAAAATTATCTTTTTCCATCTTGATAAAGCAAATCAGAAGACAAATATAGACATTGATAAATGGCAAAAAGCTTTAAAAGTTTATGCAAAATAACATTGCAAGGAAGAGGCATATAGTCTTGTCACTGCACATGGCCTATGAGCCACATGCCTAGCAGAGCGCCCACTTATGTAACCTAATGGCAATATTTTCAGCCAGATGATTGCTTTGACGCAACCAGATCCAACAGGTTAATACTTGTACTGGAAGTGTTTCCTTCTCCCCCACTTATTGTCCTATCTACAACGAGGACTGGTCATCCTGTGAAAATGACTTGTTGACTATGATGTAGTGGCATTACAATGCTATACTATTCCTCCTAGAAGCCAGTGTAAATCCTACACCAATGTTGCTAAGATTAGCTTCCATAGACATGACCTCCCCATGAAGCTTATATCGGTGGAATGTCCTGTCCTGTCCAACCATACCAGGGTTTTTCTATCTCTACCTATTCTAAAACTGTCCTTTCTCCTGAACTATCCTACTTCTACTCCCCCTCTCCCCAAGTCAAATTCCTTTTCCAGTCTAAATCTAGATACTCCAATCTCTACCACTTCCCTAATGCCTACCCCTCCTTCTCGCTTTCCCTGTCACACCAGGCAACCTAAAAATCCTCTCCTAAACCCTCCCCCTCCTCTACTCCTTGGACATCTATCCCCTCTTCTCCTCAAAAGAACCTTTGTTTCTCAGACCTCCCCACCCAACTCCCTTCCAGGAACTCTTGAAGACTTTGTAAACATGACCCAAGAGAATGCTCCACTCCCTCATCCCCTCCAATCCTTTTATTCTTATTCCCTCAACATTGAAAGTATTTGCCAATATCCATCCTCCACCTCCTCAAGATCCCCCTACCCCTTTCCTCCTACTTTCTCACAGCACCCTCTCCTCTCCTCCATTCCATGCACTGTTCCCTGCACCATCCTCTCCTTCTCCATTCCATGCACCAGTCTCTCCTCCATTCCATGCACCATTCCCTCTTCTTTCCCCAATATGCTTACTGCTCCCACCTGGATACTCATGTGAATCCGTTCTATCTCAACAGCGTCTTCTGGATCCCTCACCTCCTGCTATTTTTCCTGTTATGTATTGACCTTCCCCAATCCCCTTATCTCTTTCCCCAGATTTTACTCCACCTACTTCTCCAACAGCCATCTCTACCCGAATTACCAGTTGATTGTTTCATAATGGCTCTTTTACTAGTTTTCTTTAGACAATGTTCCTCTTCCTCAGCTGCAGATACTCTCCATTTCATCCAGTCACCTTAAGCCCTTAACTCTTTCCTCTTTTGCTAATTTCTGCTTTTCTTCATTTGCTCCCCCACTTTACCCTTTTTGCTACCATACTATCATACTATCTAAAAGAGAGAGAGAGAGAGAGAGAGAGAGAGAGAGAGAGAGAGAGAGATGAGAGAGAGAGAGAGAGAGAGAGAGAGAGAGAGAGAGAGAGAAGAGAGAGAGAGAGAGAGAGAGAGAGAGAGAGAGAGAGAGAGAGAGAGGGGGGGGGGAGGTAGGTAGGTAGGTAGGTAGGTGGGACAGAGGAGAGGAAAGAGAACAGGAGAGGGCTTTAGTGAAAGAAAACAAACTTTAAAGATTACGATGACCCTGGAGAGAGAGAGAGAGAGAGGTGTGGTAGAGGAGAGGAAATAGAATTGCAGAGGGGTTAGTGGAAGAAGAAATTTCTTCCTAGAACAAAGAGAATATCAAGTGGATGAAGGCATTCACAAGTGAACTCTGAGATTCATATATACATAGATAGATGTGTAAGGGGTTTTACAGTTCTCTCCAATGAAATTACTTTAGTTGCCCCACAGCTTTTGGAGTTTTGTGTATCAGTATTCAGACTTATGTAAGAATATTTAAAATGCCTAAAGAACAGATAACTTTTTTTTATCATGTAAAGGGTTGTTGTCAGTATAAAGGAGTGTTATCTGGCAACATTATAAATTTTTCTATGAACACTTCAGCAATTTGTGTGATAGTATTGAGACACCAGGTGACAGACACTCATTTCAGTCCAGTATATTGTCAAAATATATGATTGTTTTTGTGTTTTCACTTGACATGTTTTTGTGTTTTGTTTCACTTGATATTTTGATTTAATCTCAATTTTGATTTGTTACTTTATAGACAAAGATACAGTTCCCTTTTAGGATCAGCCATAAATAGACATTAACAATGTTTGTAGAATACACACCTCCTCACATCTCTAATAATAATAAAAAAATCATCAATAGAAGGGTGAGATTTAAGAAATAGGGCTTATTCCAAAGCAAGTTATTTTCGCAAGTGATGATCCAAATTTATAGCACATTATGAACTAGATATGTTGCCACCACTTAGATCAATCCATTTGCTCTATATAACAAAGTGATTTATGACTGTTTGTCCATTGGCTATTTTATGTAGAGTTTTACCATAGATATACCACAGGATATATGAATCACAGTAAGTATCCACTGAGAGTGTAGATAAAACCTTTTTGGACATAATTTAGAGAGAATAGGAAAATCATATGAAAAATACAAAAAAAGGTAGAGACATGTTTTGATGCAGGAACTTAAACATAAGAATTGATATGTCTCCAAATTTTATTTTTCATTCTATTTATTTGAGATTGAAACAACCTTTTATGTTTCCCTTACAGTCACTATGGTGTCTACCCGTGGAGTGAGAGTAAAGTTCAGTGAAGGAGAGAGAGTGCTGTGCTATGAACCTGATCCCACCAAGGCTAAAGTATTGTATGACTCAAAAGTCCTTGAAGTAGTATATAACAAAGATAACAAAGGCCGGAAGCAAGTTGAATATTTGATCCACTTTCAGGTATGAAAATGTTTAGGTACATCCTTTTGATATCCAAAATAGTATTCATCAATTTTTTTCTTATTGATTTTGGATAGATCTTTTATCACAGATAAGAGGACAGGCACTGACACTATTACTTATATATTTTTTTTCTCAGCAAATCCTAAAAGAATATGAGATGTTTGTTTTATTATCTTTTTCAGGGATGGAACGCATCATGGGATCGTTGTGTGTCTGAAGACTTAGTTCTCAAAGATACAGAAGAGAATAGGGAGCTGCAACGTCAGCTGGCAGACAAGGCGCATATCAAATTGTAAGGCCATTGTGTAAAGGATTAGTCTTTCTTTATGTTACGAATATGTGGTATAACTGATGTGCAGCAATATATTGTCCTATTTGATATGCAATATAATGTTTTTGCACCATGATGGCTTATCAGGGATTTACTTGATGAATTATTTTATTAGAGAATAATACCCATGAGAATGCAGATGTCACAGCTGCCTCTGTATTCGATAAACGTGACTGGCCACAGAATGCATTTTACTTGCGCATGTTAGTCAACCGCTGTATAAACAGAACCAGCTGAAGAATTGTATTTTGAATTTATTCAGTTTTATTTTTCCAATGGAGTATCTAGGTTTTGGAGCTAGGGTTTAGAGTGAGGTGGAACAGTTGTATTTTGGTAAAGAAAGAGAGAAAAAAAGTAAGAAAACTCTTTACTAAAAATCTCTCTCTCTCTCTCTCTCTCTCTCTCTCTCTCTCCTCTCTCTCTCTCTCTCTCTCTCTCTCTCTCTCTCTCTCTCTCTCTCTCTCTCTCTCTCCTCTCTTCTCTCTCTCTCTCTCTCCTCTCTCTCTCTTCCTCTCTCTCTCTCCTCTCCCTCTCTCTCTCCTCTCTCCCTCTCCCTCTCTCTTCAAAAACGCCTCTTTGGCGCAGATAAAAGTGCTTCATTTTATTTATATTTTAGAATGTTTTGATATGGCAAATAGAATTATATACAGCCGATCCTCTCTTAAATTCTGTTTCCTTTACAGATCCATTAAGTCCAATCGGGTGTTGATTGGAGGACCTCTATAGTAAGTAGTGATTTTCACTTATAGTTTTCAAAAATTCATTTCTGCTTGACTATTACTTTTTCATTTTCTTTCACTGTTTGCTTGTCTTATAGTTTTATTCTCTGTCCATGTATTGCATGTTGTATGTATTTCATCTGACAAAAATACGCTGTAGATCTATGGGATTTTCATATAAATATGTCAAAGAAAAAGGATATATGAGACTTTACTTGTATTACTGATATAATTATGAAAAGAGCAATCTTTAAAGCATAATTTAAGAGCCATTTGGTAAATTCAAAACTTATTAAGTCATAATCAAAGATATGAGATGGAAATGTTTGCATTGCTGATGTTAGACACTAAGGGTAAAAAACTTTGCATTTGATATATATTATAAGTTCCCTTATCCTTTGGCTTATAAAAAATTGTAGCTCAGATTTAATCATGATTTTCAAGCTATATCTCTCCCTTAGTGTGTTTCTCTAAACTACTGTACATTTTTGTTTTGTTTTGCCAATTCTGTTTACACATAAATGGTTTGACAAGCCTTGGCTGTTAATCTGATTCCGTCATCTTTACTTTTTGAAGTTTTTGTTTCCAACACTGTTTTCATATCATTATTAACATTATTGAAGACTGATGACATTATTAATGTTATAGCATTATAAATAATACCAATTGTGATACAAATACAGAAAAAAAGATGCAAGAAATAGGACCAACAAGTGAAATTCTGTAGACCTAGTAATAGACTCTTTGATGACTAAGCATTTGGGTGCTATCTATATATAAACAATATTGATACACTAAAATCACATTGGACAAAGCATGTACGGTGCCTTCCTGGCATTAATGGGATGATTTTTCAGATTTATTTTGACTTAAAACAAGAAAATTTTGGGTTAGTTGTAGACTGAACAGTGCTAGTTATAACAATCCTTATTTTTTTTTATCAGTAAAGACAGGAAGCGCAAGAGACGGCTCTCAGAAACAATACGAGAAACAATCGAGAGAGAGAAACGAAAACGAGAACAGCAGGAGGAATCTGAAACAAGCTCACAGGTATGAGATCTGTTGTTGAGAGTGTGGGTAAAAAATGGGACTCTCATTATAAATATTTCTGGCTTTTGAAATTGTTTATAGTATTTTAGTTCGTGAATTACAGATTTAGTTGATTTTAGAAGTAAAGTTTTTTTAAATTATTATTTTGTTTATTTACTAATTTCTTCTTTTGAAGCATATTCTCTACATCAGATATTTCATTATTGATGCCTTAGTAAGAA